TTCCACCTTTATTAGTAATTAAATAGTGTATGCAGCTACCCAGATTAAACGTCTGGAGAGATAATGCCTGTGCTTGCAAGACCTATTTGAAAATAAACTAAAGGCATCTCCTGATTTATGGTTGGTTTTTTTTGTTGTTGTTGTATCAATCTCAGTGAATGAAAGACTGGTAAATACTCCTAAATTCACTTCTGATTTCTTTTGTGTCTTATACATTTGAACATAGCACAGAAAGCCTTTTACCAGCTTTTAAGTACAGTGAGATAAACGTGTCAACACTGAATAAGTAAATAAATAAATTTGAAAACTGCTAAACTAGAATCATCAAATCATAAAGTGCTTAAGATTGTTCAGACTAAACACTGTTTTTAGAGGCTGTTTTGAATTTTTACATACCTTCGTCCTTAAGTTCTCATAGGCTATGGTTGTTATTTTGAGTTACATTTTCTTTATACTAAGCACTTTCCTTAGGAGCTGCAAGATGCTTTTGAAGCACAAATTGTCCTGTAAAACTGGTTAAGTAGACAAGGGCCTGCTTTCACCCTGTGCTAATACAGTCCTTTGGTGTTTCAAGCCTTTTAATTGTATCAGAATGGGTTTAAGTAGCTACAAAGTTTGTAGTTGCTGGTTTGATATTTTTCAAAATTATCTGCATCATTAATGTTTTCTTTTTATAAAAGTGTGTCTCTCTTCCTGCCAAGTGGATAACTGAGCTAACAGGGGTTTTGTATGTTTTTGTTTCTTATTTCTTTAGCCTCCAAAACTCTTATTAATAGTATGCTACGGGACCCTTCTCAGATTCCAGATGGAGTTCTGGCAAATCAAGTCTATCAGGTATTAATCACAGTTGTTTTTTTCTTTTTTTTTTTTTTTCCTGTGGCAGTGCTGTTATCTGTCTAGCAGAGTAAAAGATTTTAAACCTCATTTAATTACTGTCATCATAAACTATCAGTGAGGTCAGGGTGCACCATAAATGGCAATGCAGTATTTGTGAGGGGAGCATTTCAGTTTTTAATAGCTTGCTTTTATAGTGAATAAAAGCATGCAGGTTTTGTTTTCTGTGATTAAATCTGAACAGCATCTGATAGCCTTTTTGAAGAAAAGTAATTACTGTTTTTAAGGTTCTTTTTAACTGTAATGGTTTCGCATTGCCCATCACTATACTACTTCTCTTATTTGTCGGCAGTGTACTGTGAATGACTGTTGTTATGGACCACTGGTGGACTGCATCAAACAGTATCCTTTCCCATAAAATTTTAGGTGCACAATTGACGAGTTTAGGCTGTGTGGAAGAGATGTGTCTAGCTTTAACCTGACATAAAGTTCTGCTTCACAAAACACGTTTCATACTCCTCTGTTTTGCATTCAATCAACTAGAGGGTCACTGCAAAGCTTTCTCTTATACTGTTTAACAAAAATCAGATGGACCACGGGAAGTTGTCAGTTCGCTGGCTACACATTCATATGCCTGATTGAACCTCTTTGGTTTTGATTAGTTGAAATTCATGTCTGGTTTTCTATTAAGACTGGACAACAGTGCTTGGAGTGGTGGAGTTGGGCTAGATATCTCTGGAGATACCTTCCAATCTCAACTCTTCTGTTGAGTTTTAATTGTAAGGTTTTCAAGTGCAATTCAGGTATGATTGACCAGTTAGTATTTTGAAACTCTGACATTCAATGCAGTTCTTTTACTTTCTCTTCTTCGTAAAGGAAATGGGTCTAGCTGTAGGAAAAAACCCTATGTAGCCTGAATTTTAAGGGTGTTGGGTTTGGTTGGGGGGGGGGGGGGAGGGTGTGGGGTTAGTGTTGAAATAGTTAATTAGAGATCCTCAATATCCAGTGAGAATCCTGGGGAAACCTCTCAGTACTGGGTATTCCAGACTAAGAGTATAATTTGTTAGGAAAGATGACTGCAACCCTAACTCTGTTTTCATAGAATCATAGAATGCTTTGGGTTGGAAGGGACCTTAAAGTCATCTAGTTCCAGCTCCTCTGCCATGGGCAGGGACACCTTCCACTAGACCGGGTTTTAACAAGACCAGACTTCAGTGAAGTCCTGAATGAGTAGCTCTTCTGTTTCACTCTGCTGTGAAAGGAACAGTTTCAAAATCATGACCTCCTACCACTGAGCCAGCTAGCAAGGCAATTGGCTCCCAAGTCCTAGGGATTCCTTGCATAAATCTCTGCATGAAGTCTGGGGGAAGATCCTGATTTCACTGTACAGTTGCAGGATAGAACAGCTACAGTGATGTTTAGTTATGCATGAAAAGCACTTTTTTTAGGTGTGATACATGTGGTAGTCACCCGTTAAAAATATGTTCTTTCCATTAGAAATACTTGCCTGGTGTCTACTACAGACTCAGCCCTGTTCCCATTAACTTTAACAGGAGCAGGATGAAGTTCTAATTATATTTGTATTTTCCGGTTTTAATCATAATTTTATGTATTCATTGAGAATATCTTCAACATTAAATACAGCTCTATGACAGTGGATTAATCTAATAAATCACAATTTTTAAAAGATTGTTGATCATTAATTTTCACATCTAGTAATGTAAGATTAATATTTTTATGACAAACAGTCTGGCTATAGTCTTCTGAAAGTGTCATTTTTTAAAGTAATAATAACAGAATATGTAGAATTATGACCAGTTTTTAAGAATAACTTGCCTGCAGTCTATAAAAGTCTTTTCTATCCTCTTCAGATTCTGGTTCAAGTGAAGTTATTGACTCTGCAGTGACATCAGTGAGCATAATGAGGATTTTTTTAATTCCGTTTTTGGTACAGAAAAGTTTAATACTAAACTGTGCAAGTGCATTATCTGCAAGTATGTTGCTGAATTAGATGTTAATTTTGAGGTGCATAAAATAGTTTAAAATCAATTTAAAGTTAAGGTTTTAAAAGCATAATGTCTTCTGAAGGATTGCGTATTGATTTTAAATATAACTATCTAATTGTATATGCATGGACTAAAGTATGAAGTCAACCTCTTTGTAAATGCCAAGAGGCTATTTTTCAGTAATAGTTCAGATGCTTACGGGAAACTAGGCTGCTAGATTGCATGAGTAGAAAATGGCTTGTGAGGTTATTTACAAGTTTTGCCCCATGGTTATTGCCATACATCAATAACAGGTATTATTATGGACTAAGTCTAAGTGTTTCTGCTTACTATGCATTATAAATTCCATTTGCAGTATTTTTCTTACATTTCTGCTGTTTTTCATTTACCCCTTTTGTTCTGTAAATGCTCGTAGAGTTTAACATAATATACAGTTTTATTAATAAAAACTATATGTGTAAATGCAGTGATTCCATACAATTGGTATTTTTGCTGGTTAGCATAAAGTGCTTATAAATTAAGTAATTAACTCTCATTGTAATGTAGTTTAAATTTTCAAAAGTTATTCTAAACAGAGTTAGGAACTTAACTGTTTTTAATGTAAGGTCCTTTATCATGATGTTCCATAAGATTCTTCTTAAAAGCTTCCAGAACAGAACTTTGACCTCCAGGAAGATACATTAAAAATACTTAATCTGGTGACTTTTCTACATGTTGCTAAGAATAGCACATTGGATCAACAGGCTGTCAGTGAAGTGAAAAGGACTTCACTAGAAAATATTTCATCCTTCCCTAAGTTCATGCTTCTGAAAAATGAATTAAAAGGATGTTTTGTTATGTAAGATGTTTCAAATGGCTGTGGTGCCTATCAATTTCTGAATATAAGGAAAAAAGCAGTTTATTTCATTCTTTGCTGAATTAGAGAATTGATACACTTGCCAGTAAAGAGCAAATTAAAAGGTATTTCTTTACATGTTTTAAGCTCATTTTTGTTTAATTTTGGGAGGGAAATAAAGCAAAAATTTAAATATTAGCCTTATTTATACTGAATAAATGTGATCTAACTGGTCTTATTTTTGTAAAATGTATGCTGATGATACAGTAGTCTAATTTTCACAAAGTGCTAAATGCCTCTGAAACTCCCTGTAAGGTATTTAAAAACTTAGAGTTCAAATCATTGTTCACTTCAGAAATGCAGATGAAGGCAAATGTATTTTATCTTTAGTTATTTTACCTGTGATGTTTTTCTGAAGTTGGTTCTTCCATTCCTTAATCTAAAGCTATCAGCGGTATCGGGCATGAGCATGAAGTCTTGCTGCGAGAAATGCTTTTGGAAAAAAATCTCTCTTTCATAGGTAAGAATTTGTAGTAGGGGCTAGCCAGCAAATCCTTAACTTCAAAGATTTCAGTGACTGTTTACCTAAGAAAAAAATAAACCTCAACACTCTTTGTATTAGGTAGTAAAGGAAGAGTAAGAAATGATTGATGCTGTACATGTTATCTTTTATTGATTTAGAACTGAGCAGGAACTCAGTTACCTAACACCCTCTATATACAGCACATGCACAGGCTTGCAATTAATATTTTATAGAATAAGTAGCTGAAAAAAATGCTTTAATATCTGCTGCAGTATTACTTTTGGTGTCATGAGATATTAGCCATAATCTAGGCCTTATGAGACTTAGGAGGAAGCATAAGAAATATTAACTTCAAAATGCTTTATGTATTAAAGAACTGTGAGAGAATTCACTCATTTAGCTTTCTGTGCAATTTCTGCTGAATTTTTTGCCCCCTGCCTACTAACCAATGCAAGTACTCATTTCACAATCCCTATATTTAAAATCATTTTAAGGATTAATTATGAAGTTATTTTCATTTTTTTCTTTTAGCCTGCACTGTTTCTTGTACATGAGTGCCATTAAAACAACGATTAATATTTAAAGCATCATTTCTCTTATTGTGATAATAAACTGAACAGTGACTTCTTAAATCTGAACTTCTTATATGATGAGACAATAGCAAAGTGAAATGCTATCTTTTGTTGATGTTGCACTAAATTTGTGTGTCCAGGGAATTTTGCTGGTTTTATCAGAAACTATGATCTTTCCTAAATCTAGACTCACGTTAATATTTTGGAAACTTTAAACAAATTTAAGAAATTAGAATGATTATTAAGGTTTTTAAAATATTTGCCCATGTAATTAAGGAACAGAATTAGTACGATCTTTTATTTTAGAGAAAAAATGAAAAAAAGACAGAAATAAGTATTGCATACAAACCTGCAGATGACATTGTGAAAATGTGAGGAAGTAGTTTTTCCTGCTTAGCTATAAGAGCAGAGGTACAGGTAATAGGCTTAAGCTGTAATTGCAGAGATGATGATGAGTTAAAATACTAAGCAGTTCTAGGAGCTGTAAGTATAAAACAAACTGCCAGGGAAGGTTATGGAATCACCTTCAGTGGAAAATTCAAGGCTAGACTTGACATTCATCTGTCAAAGCTGGTAATGAAACCAATCCTGTCACGATACGAGAGAATGGACTAGATGACTCACAAATGAATCCTCAACCCAGTGATTATCATTTTATTCGGCTTGTGCAAGCTTGTGTACTACACAAATCAGATTTAAATTTTGATGTTTTGTGACCTTGGATAAGCATCAGTTTTGTCTTTAAAAATAAGCTTTAAGAAATTTGTGTTGTCAAAGTATCTAGAATGGATTAACTCATTAGAATAGAAACATAAATGAGAAAGTTTATTGTTTAGATACTATGGATAGTGAAATACTGTTTAGTCATGATTTAAGATCTGTTAGATGGGTGTATTTATTATTTCTGTCCATTGCAGGTGTTTTTTAAGGTTTTAGGTATTAAAAAAGAAATAAAACTCCTTAGTATGTGCAAGATTAACCCTACTGAATCCCTCACAATAAAATCTTTCCTTTTTTAAAAATTACTTCCAAAACTGCTTGAAGATAACTTCAGCAAAACAGAAGAGATGACAGTATTTCCTATAGGTCAACAAATTCAGACTTTGTTAGACTCTGAGAAAGACTACACTCCAGTTTTGAAGATGGCCCAGGACTTAGATTGCTGTAATTGCAATTCCATTACTTTTTAACATGTGTTACAAAAAACAAATTCTGCAGTTTCCATATTAGTTTACTATTCCTCAAGAATAGTAAGGTTTTTGTAGCAGCTCTCTTCACCTGAGCAACAGTCTAAGGACATGGTGAATATAAATCACCACAGTATAGTCTTGGAGCATGAAACAGCTCTTCAGTTCCAGGACATAATTTGTCTGTTTCTAGAGCAGTTAGCTTTCAGAGCCTACAGATCAGATGTAAGATTCACCCAGAAATTGATTTGAAACCTATATAAACTAACTTTGCTTTTTGTTAATCTACTGTTCATGAGAACCATATCATTTACCATGTCCTCTCTTCAACAAAAACACAGCTCTCAAATACTTATCACTTTGCTTAGGATTAAAGTGATCAGTGTTCTCTCAAAACAGGTGAACCGTTTCACTTGCCATACTGAAATGCCAGGAATTTCTAGGTTCTGTGTAGGATCTTTATGGGTTTGCACCTTTGCCATGAATATATTAGTAAAGCTTTTAGCTGTATGGGGAGGTACTGACCTTTGTCTGGAATCTTATCCTCCTTTGGTTCCCACTGTGTCCTTCAGTAGTAGCCTGGATATAAATCATGAAATCTGGTCAGTGTTTTCTCCTGTAATCTTAAATTTGCAGTTGCTGTTCATTCATGCACCAACAGAAGAATGTTTGGTTTCTTTGTTATATCCAGAGGCTAGTATAAGAACAATGATGTGTTAAATGGTTATGATTGAGTGTGAAGTTACCATAAAGATGAAGCTGCAGTTTTGTTGGAAATCTAAATTAATGGGGAATCTGTAGAACACTACTTAGTAGTGCTGTTTCAACGTAATTTTCAAATCTCAGGATGCATAAATGTAACTGTCAAAGCTGTTGGGGGCTGGCTTTCAGGCAATTGTTAAATTATTCTCTCAACCCATGCAAAAGCTAAAAGATCTCTTTTAAGGTGCAGAATACTACCTCTGTAGCTTCTGGACAAATCTGAAACATAAGTGGGCTGAAAAGCTAGAGCTTCTGTTTTGGTGGGGTTTTGGTTAAAAAAAGAAAACGGGTTTATGGTGATTGTGGGAAGTATCTGTATCTCTTTCCTCTCTCCTCCCCTCCTCCCTCCGCCAAATTTATAAAGAAATGGTAATCTATAATTATGTTGCTACACGATAGACAACTCACATCAATAATAAACATGGTTTTTAACCTTATTTTATAATGCTATTCACAGTACAGAATGTCAGGAGAAACCAAGTGAAAACATTCAGAAACAGACTTAAAGCAAAAACCACGTTCTTTCTAAAGCCATGTGTTACTATCACACAATCTGATTTCGACAGAATGATTTCTATGATTCTACAATTCTATGATTCTAAAAGTAATCAAGTAGCCTTGAAAAAAAGAACCTGCAGAAGAATATTGAAAGTAATGCTGATGCAGACTCCAGTTCTGAGACTTGTCAAGTTGACTTATCGTGAAATGTTTACCCCTTCCTGGCTTTCAGTGGGTTCTTTTAAGTTACATTTCCCTGAATTTCTGATGCTAGCATTTGTTAGATATGAAAGAAAAATACTGAACTTTCTATTGCTATTTGTGTCTTCTTAAACAATGAAAACTTCATCTTGAACATCCTGTTGTCTTTTTTGTACTGTTTCAAACAATTAAGAGCAGACTACAGTTAAATAGAGTTGGATAAAAGTGAAATTTTTTAATCAAGATTAAGAGATCACATACAGTTAATTAATTTTTATGTTATGGCACAAAACTCTCGAATCATACGTTCTGTTAAATTAGAACTTTGTTAATCTTAACACTGTTTATCCACATTCCTGACAATGTTGACAAATTTGAAAAAACAGCCAACAACCAATTCTGTCTCCAAATCCTAAAAAGTTTAATAGCTGATCAGGTGATACAGTGAACTGTTGCATTGCAAAGACTTGTATTTACAATATGGTGTGGTTACAGTGAAGAAATACTCTCAAATTTCAAAAGAAATACTGCACCTATCAAAATTAATAAACAGCTTTTGCAGTTTACACCTAACTGAATGTACAACTTACTTCGCAAAATCGCTCCTGTCCCACTTTCAGTTATGACTTCACTGTATTAAAAAAACACTTCAGACTTACATTCTTCAATGGGAAAGGGGGGGAGAGCTTGCTTTAGGTGCTTTTAGAATATTTGGATTTCTAAGAGTGTATATTTTTCTTGTCATTAAAATGTTACTTGGACTCAAACTGCTGACCTTTCAGGATATTCACAAAGTATTCAAAAACTGAGTTCTGAACATTGGCCATGAAACTACTGTCCTAACCTGATAAATGGATTGGAAATAAGCTACCCAACAGTGAGAATGGACCATTAATTTTAATCAAAGGTGATGTAGAAAGGCGAATGGGATGCATGACAATGTCAACAGCCCAGTAGGTGTTAAGGGGCTACACAGCCTTACTTGTTACTAGGTAGTGCCATTAGTTGAGCTTGGGTGAAGACAGAAAGCCATGCCTGGAATTGAATGACCAGGTCACTCCAAATTCTAATGGAGAAATGGTGTTTTAGAAATGCCAGTGTAATGGTATCAGAAATCAAGGACAATAGTTTAGAAAATATTAAGGGCAATATTAAGGGCTTGCTTGGGCTTCCTTTTTTTTCTTTTTTAAGGAAGCGTCTTTTGTCTTCTGCAGTTTTATCTTGCTCAGTCATTATTGTTTCTTGGAATATTCAGCTCTAATATTTGTAAGCAGTAGAGTTGTATAGTTTATGTTAGCAGAATTTCTAGGTCTTTGTATGTTCTGAAATTGAATAAATTCTATAGATTGCAGGGTGCAAGAAAAACTAAAATTGTGGCTTCTCTCCTTCATAAATTTCTGGAAGAAAAGGATTTTCCTGTTCTTTTTTTTAACAACTTTATGCTAACATTGAAATAAAACCAAGAAGGCAGCTACAGTATATCTACATTTGTGGTGTTGATAGGATTAGTCTTAATGCTTCCTAATGTGGGGAGACTCTTCTTTCAATCAGCAAATATACTTCTTTATTTTGAATATTTGGAGGTTATAAAATACTATATGACAGCTTGAATTAATGATGTTTATAATGAAGACATAAAAATGCAGGGATGACAAAGAAGCATTTTTATATCCATGCTTCAGTTTTTCTACAAAGGTTCATTTAATCTGACACAGCATTGCATGCATAAGAAAGATATGTATGACTGCATTAGTAATTCTTGCACTCTTATTTAAAATAAAAATAATTATGCTGCTGTCTACTTAACAGAAGAGTTTTATAAACAATAGTTCTTATTCTGTATGTATAGCTGAAGATCAGCTTCGTGCAAAGGGTTATGACAAAACACCAGACTTCATTTTAGAAGTGCCAGTAGGTAAGTCTTTTAAAGAATTGTTATTGTTTTATTTTGAGTAGAAGAGTGCATGCTAAAATATTACAGCTACACATTACAGCTATACAGCTGTATATTAAAGGATACTACAAAGTAGGGGTGTTTTTTCTTTGGTAGTTAACCTAATAATTTTAAGAACAGAACTTCTAGTTTGTGTCAGAGAGGTTTGCTCATAAGTAGTATTACCCAGTGCTTCTTCTTTGGTTGCTGCATGTTTTTGTCTCATTATCACAAAAAAGAAAACCAAGGAACAGTCAGAACCCCCAGATGCCTGCTCCCTCTAAACTGCTCTGCACACTGTCTTTCTGAACTGAACTCTGAAATACCTATTAATGTTTTAGACTTCTAGACCAAATCAATTCAAAGCGTTGTAGAGTATTACCATTACACTTATAGGTCATTGCATAAAGATTTGTTGTAGTGCCATTATTCTCTTGCCATCACTTTGCATCTAAATACAACTCTGCAGTTCTCTTTTTTTTTCTTTAATCCTGTGTAGCAAGAAGCAAGAAGGAATAAAAGTAGGTATAAAGGTCATGTCAAAGCTCATCTACATTTTCTGGTCTTGAGGCCATGTAAGAAGGTAATCAGCTGACGTAGTGGCTGGGCCATGGAAGAAGAAACATCAATGCTGTCTAAGTGTAAAGGATTATTAATCACCTTTTGTAAATTGACTTTCATGCTAAAAGATGATGACTTTGCCTCCATAGAACACAGCACCTGTCAGTGCAGGTGTCTGACAGAGAAAACAAGAAGGCTGAAAGCAGCCTGTGAAAGTCATATACGTGACTAGCTTTTTGTTCTTCATATTGACAACAGTTGGAATTCTTACTAACTGATTTATACACTGATATAAGGAACTGACGTGTGTACTATAAAACGTGTCACTACTCGGAAGTGCTTGAGATACCATCTTTCAGCACGATAGTCTGTTATTTAATAGATGAACAACTATGCATATGAGAATCTTCCAAAAAGTTCAGTGATGTTTGTATTTGTAATCGTGTTTCCAGAAAAGAAAAATGGTAGTGATGTTAAGAAGAGGTTACAAAACAAAAAATACCTGCGTAGCTAAAGTACTCTGTATTTGAAACGGTGAGCTTTGGCATCCTGATGATCTGCAGTTCACAGACAGTTGTCAAGCCACACCTGGAGAGTTTTCAGTTATCTTCTACTAGTTCACTTCCATAATTCTTATTTGTGGAGGGTCTCAGAAAGCTACCAAGGACCCAAGGACATGAGGGAACAGTTGTTTATCCAGTCTAAAATTAGCAGGGAAGATTGTGAAATTACAGTATCACAAAATGACTGAGGCTGGAAGGCATCTCTGGTAGTCATCTGCTCAAGCATGTCCAGATGACTTTTGAATATCTCCAAGGACTGAGACTCCGCAGCCTCTCTGAGAAGCCTGTGCCAGTGCTCAGTTACCCTTACAGTGAAAAAGTGGCTCCTGATGTTCAGACAGACCCCCCCCCCATGTTTCCGTTTGTGCCTGCTGCCTCTGGTCCTGCCACCGGACACCACTGAAAAGAGCCTTGTTCCCTCTTCTTAACACCTGCCCTTCAGATATTTATATACATTAGTAAGTTTCCCCAGTAATGTGGACCACAATATACACAATGCATACTTGATATCAAGATACTCACTTTTATACTGGTAACATGTAAGATTATACCCTATCCAGGAGCCTGATTAAATGGAACTAGGAAAGCAGCTAGGTGTAGCTAATTTTTTTAGTGCTTGAGAGGGGAAACTGGGAAACACCCAGAAGAAGTCTTAGGTTTGTAGTATTACCCTATTAGAAAGAAGGTTAAAAATAGCCATTAATTTGTTTTGAGTGGATTTGTCTCTAAAAATCGAAACAGTGCTAGTGCATTACTTTTCTCACATTATTTTAGTCACTTGAGATTGACAAGAAGTAATTTTCTACCTGTTGTCCAGACTGAACTAATGTATGGCCGTTCTTGCACTCTCTTCTTCATGACTCACTACCTGCCTAGGAAAGGCAAATGTTTCTTAGAAATTGCTTCTCAGTGGACTACACAGTTTATGCCTCAGCTGTTAGATCTCCTGGGGTCTGAAGGTACTAGGGGGGTATTGGGAGTGGGGGAAGGGTGTAGTAGTATAGGCCTACACAAGTTAACTTGGTTACTGATAGCATGGTAGTGGTGGCATATGGAGCTTAGTGTGGTGGCTTCATGTGGTGTTTACCGAGATTTCCCAAGTAATTTTACAGTCTGCTGTAAACTGTGTGTTGCCACAGCTTCTTGTAATCTTTCTGTATTGTGTTTCTGAGATGGCATGCTCTCAGATGCCATACCCAACATTACATTAGAGACAGAATTGTTATTTTTTTTAGAGTTAGTTTCATGATTTCTCCTGCAAAATTAGGTTGTCAACTTCAGAAAGGACTTTAAAAAAAAAAAAAAATACTTTTATTAACATGAGAAATTCACTTCTACAAGCAGTGAGAAAAGATGTGAACCAGAGCAAATCCCACAGAGTGAAACAGAAATTCAGAATCACATTTTTTCACATAGGCCTTCTTATTCCTAGCTTCTTTCTGGTAAAGCATTACTGGTTTTGCAAAGGCAAGGAAGGAGATATGTATGTATGGTAAACATCCTTGCTGTTCTCACACCTTCCACTCTTCATTGATGAGAATTTGCTGGTTTTAACAGCTTAGCTAACTGCTCTTGTTTTCAATTCCTTACCTGACAACTCCTTTCCAGCCAAGGGTAAAAGTACAATGCAATTGCGCGTTGGTCTAGTCTCTTTCCCTTTATATTCGGTTTGTGTTAGAATAAATGCAAATATCTGAAATGGGGTGTAATTAAACTTCTATAATTATCCATTGAAATAGGTATTTTTTTAAAAAATGTCCTGTGCATATTTGAAAGATATTTTTTGTAAATACATAACTCTGTTGCAATAATGAATTATGCGGTATATTGAGGGAGTAAATAAGATATTCCCAAACACATTCTTCCAGGCTGCTGAGTGTGATTTTAAGAGTTCTGTTTATTTTCTGCTGTCACGCTAGCTGTTGAAGGACACATAATTCACTGGATTGAAAGCAAAGCCTCATTCGGTGACGAAAGTAGCCACCAAGCCTACTTGCAGGACCAGTTTTGGAGCTACTGGAACAGGTACCTTTCCACTATTTTTCCTTATAAACAGGACTGTGTTTTTAAAAGAAGTTATGGGAAAAAACATTAGTGACTATTAAGCTATGTTGATAAAATACATGTTACCAGTCTGGCATTTTGAATGTCATTAATTAGTGTGCCAAACTGGAAAGCTGAAATATTTGTGAAAAAGTCACATCATAATTGTTTGCACGCAGCAGATACATATGGTAATTTTACAGCAATGCTACTTTGGTACAGAGTAAGTTTGGTACAGAAGTCAAATTTCAATTTTTTTTTAGTACTTGCCTTTGAAGTCAGATTTTGCTGTAATGTTTTGAAATACCTGCAAGCTGCCAAATTTGTTATAAACTCTTCACAGTCTAACCAAGTGGGCTTTGTGTGTAAAGAAATTTATTGCTCATTGGCATTTTATCTGGGGTAGTACTGTTTCACTGTTGGTTGTTTTGGGTTTTTTTAATAAAGTATTTTTTTCATATGTTACCTGTATTTTAACTAGTAATAACAACTGTCTTCAAAATAAAAAATGTAGTAAGTATCTCAGGTACATAAGGAGGGAGATAAGTTATGCTGGACCGAATTTTTGAACACGTCAATGGTATACACAGTATACACAGTATGCTAGAGATTGGAAGGGACCTCAAAAGATCATCTAGTCCAATCCCCCTGCCGGAGCAGGAACACCTAGATAATGTTACACAGGAATGTGTCCAGGCGGGTTTTGAATGTCTCCAGGGAAGGAGACTCCGCAACCTCCCTGGGCAGCCTGTTCCAGTGTTCCGTCACCCTCACTGAGAAGAGGTTTCTTCTCAAGTGGAACCTCTTGTGTTCCAGCTTGTACCCATTACCCCTTGTCCTATCATTGTTTGCCACTGAGTAGAGCCTGGCTCCATCCTCGTGACACTCCCCCTTTATATATTTATATACACTAATAAGGTCACCCCTCAGTCTCCTCTAAACTATAGAGACCCAGCTCCCTCAGTCTTTCCTCATAAGGGAGATGCTCCACTCCCTTAATCTCTTAGTTGCCCTGCGCTGGACTCTCTCCAGCAGCTCCCTGTCCTTCTTGAACTGAGGGGCCCAGAACTGGACACAATATTCCAGATGGGGTCTCACCAGGGCGGAGTAGAGGGGAAGGAGGACCTCTCTCGACCTACTAACCACCCCCTTCTAATACACCCCAGGATGCCATTGGCCTTCTTGGCCACAAGGGCACAGTGTTAGCTCATGGTCATCCTGTCGTCCACTAGGACCCCCAGGTCCCTCTCCCCTACACTGCTCTCTAACAGGTCGTTCCCCAACCTATACTGGAACCTGGGGTTGTTCCTGCCCAGATGCAGGACTCTACACTTTCCCTTGTTATATTTCATCAAGTTATTCCCTGCCCAACTCTCCAGCCTGTCCAGGTCTCGCTGGATGGCAGCACAGCCTTCTGGCGTGTCAGCCACTCCTCCTAGCTTAGTGTCATCAGCAAACTTGCTGATAGTACACTCAATTCCCTCATCTAAATCATTGATGAATATATTAAATAATACTGGTCCCAGTACTGACCCTTGAGGCACTCCACTAGTTACAGGCCTCCAACTAGACTCAGCCCCATAGACCACAACTCTCTGGCTTCTCTCCTTCAGCCAGTTCACAGTCCACCTCACTACCTGATCATCCAGACCACACTTCCTCAATTTAGCCGTGAGGATGCTGTGGGAGCCTGTGTCAAATGCTTTGCTGAAGTCAAGGTAGACCACATCCACCGCTCTGCCATCATCCATCCACCGTGTTATATCCTCATAAAAGGCTAAGAGATTGGTCAAGCATGATTTCCCCTTGGTGAAGCCATGTTGACTGCCCCTCATAACCCTCTTATCCTTGATATGCCTTAAGATGGCACCAAGGATAAGGTGTTCTATCACTTTCCCAGGGATGGAGGTGAGGCTGACCGGTCTATAGTTACCCGGGTCCTCCTTCTTGCCCTTTTTGAAGACTGGAGTGACATTTGCTTTCCTCCAGTCCTCAGGCACCTCTCCCGTTTCCCAAGACTTGGTAAAGATGATGGAGAGTGGTCTAGCAATGACTTCCGCCAGTTCCCTCAGCACCTGCGGGTGCATCCCATCTGGACCCATGCATTTATGGATGTCCAGATTGCTCAGCTGGTCTCTAACCCATTCCTCATCGACTAAGGCAAACCGCTCCGTTGACCTGACTTCATCTAAGGTCTCGGGGTACAGGGCTCTTCAGGTCTGCCTGCAGCAGAGTAGACAGAGACAAAGAAGGCATTCAGTAACTCTGCCATCTCTGTATCTTCTGTCACCAGGGCACCCATCCCGTTCATCAGTGGGCCTACATTGCCTCTGGTGTTAGTTTTATCTGCCATGTATTTGAAAAAGCTCTTTTTGCTGTCCTTGACCCTTCTCGCCAGATTTAATTCTAAGGAGGCCTTAGTCATCCTAGCTGCCAACCAACTATCTTGGGCCCCTTTACCTTCAAACAGCCTTGCCCATGGGATTTCCCCTAGCAATTGCTTGAAAAGGCCAAAGTTTGCCCTGCTAAAGTCCAGGGTTGCAATTCTACTTGCTATTCTACTAGTCCTACCACACAAGATCCTGAATTCCACCATCTCGTGGTCGCTGCAACCAAGGCAGCCCTCAACCCTTACTGCTTCAACCAGATCCTCCTTGTTAGTGAGGATGAGATCCAGCAGCGCTCCTCTCCTGGTTGGCTCATCCACCATTTGCAGGAGGAAGTTATCATCCACACACTGGAGGAACCTCCTGGACTGTGGCTGGGTTGCTGAGTGGTCCTTCCAGCAAACATCAGGGAAGTTAAAATCCCCCACGACAACCACAGCCTGTGACTGTGAGGCCGCTCTCAGCTGCCTGTAGAAGGCCTCATCAACCTCCTCACCCTGATCTGGTGGTCTGTAACAGACACCCACAGCAGTATCCCACCTGCCAGCCTGCCCCTTAATTCTCACCCACAGACTCTCAACTCACTCGTCATCTGTCCCTGGACAGAACTCGGTGCATTGTAGTTGCTCCCGCACATAAAGAGCAACCCCACCACCCTTCCTGGCTGGCCTGTCTTTCCTGGAAAGGACATAGCCCTCCATGACTATATTCCAGTCATGTGAGCTGTCCCACCACGTCTCTGTAATTGCCACCAGATCATAGTCTCCTGACTTAACACAGGTTTCCAACTCCTCCTGCTTATTTCCCATGCTGCACGCATTGGTGTACAGACATTCCAGGGAGCGAGCTGAGCACACCGATTTCACCCTAGGATTATAGGAGGCCTCCCAGTCTTCATCAATTCTGGAGTGCTGCCCCACTGGGGCAAGCCCAGCTACAACCCCATCCCCCTTCGAATCTAGTTTAAAGCTCTCCAAATGAGCCCTGCTAATTTGTGCCCCAGCATCCTTTTGCCTCTGTGAGATAAACCTTTCCCACTTGTCATTGTCCAGACTGGTGCCCTATAAAACCAGCTGTTATCAAAGAATCCAAGGCCCTGCCTGCAGCACCAGTCTCGAAGCCAATCGTTTATGGACTGAATCTTCCCATTCCTTCCCACATCATCAGTGGAAGATGGAAGGAGTGAGGAGAAGATCACTTGAGCCCCAGACTCTTTCACCATCCTCCCCAAGGCCCTGTAGTCTTTCTTCATCCCCCTCAGACTGCGGGAAGCAGCTTCCTCCCCACCTGTCTGGAAGACCAGCAGCGGGTAGTAGTCTGTCGGGTGCACCAGGTTGGGGAGCGCCCTGGTGATATCCCTGATCCGGGCTCCAGGCAGACTACACACTTCCCCATGATGAGGGTCAACTCTGCATATCGGGCCCTCTGTTCCTCTCAGAAGAGAATCGCCTACTACAATGACCCTTCTTTCTTTCTTATCAGAGGCAGTCTTGAGGTGCAAAGTCGACCTCCTTTTCCTACGTGGCCTTGTAGGCTGGCCTTGCACCACATCCTCACCTACCTCTCCTTCAAGATCCAGGGCCTCAAGCCTATTACTGAGGGACACCTGGGGAAGCAGGGCAGGAAGGGGGGAGGGTTTCCCACGACACCGAACTGGAACTCGCTTCCAACCCTCATCGTCTTTTTGGTCCCCTACCTCTGCGCAACAGCTACAGGGCAGGGTCTGTCTCAGGCCATCCCCCTGTGTCTGAGAGAGCAGGGGGTCCTTCCCCTTTTGGGGGGTATCTCCCTGGAACCGTTCTGACTGGCACGCCAGGGAGTTACTCCACCAGTCGATCTCCCTTTCACACTCCCTGATGGTCCTCAGCGTCTCAACCTCCTCCTTAAGTTTTGCCACCAGGCTAAGCAGATCTTCTACCTGCTCACACCTCACGCAGGTGGAATGCTGTCCTCCCTCCCCCGGCAGCAGCAGGCTCTGGCACTCCCTGCATCCAGAGACCTGAACAGCCACAGTTTGGGATGGAGTCTCTGGGTTGCTGCAGTCACCTTACTACAAGCTCTCTTTCTGGAGGCGACCGTATTGGTCCGCAGTCGGACACCAGCAACAGGGTCAGCAACACGACCTGCTTGTTCCTCACTGCCCTCTCCGAGGCTCTTTCAAGGCAAGGGGCAGGGGGGTGGTCGCCGTCACCGTGGGAACGCCCCCCGCCACGTCAGCCGCTCTCTCTCAAGGGCTGCTGGGGCTTCGGGGATCCGGAGATGTCGGGAATCGCGATGGCTCTGCGCTATCCCCTCTGATTTTCCTCATCTCCGTTGACCCTCGCGGTCGCTGAAGCGTGCCGGCTGTGGCTCTAGCTAGGCTAGCTCTGATCAGCCGACTGAATGAAGATCAGTATGGTATGAAGATCTTTTCTTTTAGAGATGGTTAAAATTGTTCTGATTTATTCTTTTAAAGACAGTCATTGTATATATTTATGCAGTTTATGAAAGATCATGGCAGTCAGATGATGTTCCTAACGACTAGAAAAAGGGTAATATAACCCTCATTTTTAAGAAGGGGAAAATGGATGACCCAGGGAATTACAGACCAGTCAG